CTCATGTAGGCGTGTGAGGAGGCACGCCCGCTTGCTCTGCACCACGGAGACCTTCCCATGTGTCACTGCCCTGCGGCCTTTGGCACCTACCCCACACCACACCTGAAGTGCAACAGCTGTGATAATATGGGAGGCTACCAAGCCAAGCACAGCAAGATGTTCCCGACTCCCAGGATCTGTAGGGCCAGCTTGCTTCTGGGCAGAGGCTGTGGTAGCTGGCACCAAGCAGTGGCTTGGTTTTCCTTTTTGCACAGACTCTTCCTAACAAGCACACAGCACACTTGGCCTAGTTACTGATTTGACCCATTTGTGCGATGTTTACACCTTGTTAACAGATAATCAGAGTTGGAAGGGACCATGTAGGTCATCTAGTCCAACCCCCTGCCCAAGCGGGAGATCCTACACCATTTCTGACAGATGGCAGTCCAATCTCTTCTTGAAAGTCTCAAGTGATGGCACTCCCACAACTTCTGAGGGCAAGGTGTTCCATTGGTTGATTGTTCTCACTGTCAGAAAGTTTCTCCTTATTTCCAGGTTAAATCTCTCCTTGTTCAGTTTCCATCCATTGTTCCTTGTCTGGCCTTCGGGTGCCTTGGAGAATAGCTTGACCCCTTCCTCTCTGTGGCAGCCCCTCAAATATTGGAAGACCTCTATCATGTCTGCCCTGGTCCTTCTCTTTACTAGACTAGCCAAACCCAGTTCCTGCAACCGTTCTTTGTATGTTTTAGTCTCCAGTCCCCTAATCATCCTGGTTGCTCTTCCCTGTACTTTTTCTAGAGTCTCAACATCTTTTTGTAATGTGTTGAACAGAACTGGATGCAGAGTACTGCAGGTGGTGGTATTACTAAGGCTTTATAGAGTGGTATTAGTACCTCCCTTGATCTTGATTATATCCCTCTGTTAATACAACTTAGGATTGCATTAGCTTTTTTGGCTACTGCTGCACACTGCTGGCTCATATTTAACTGGTTGTCCACTAAGACTCCAAGATCCCTCTCACAGTTACTGCTATTGAGCCTGGTTTCACCCAGTCTATATGTGTACTTTTGGCTTTTCTTGCCTAAGTGTAGGACTTTACTTTTCTCTACATTGAATTTCATTTTGTTAGATATGGCCCAGTGTTCCAGTCTATCAAGATCCATCTGGATCTTGAGCCTATCTTCTTGGGTGTTAGCTGTTCCTGCCAGCTTAGTATCATCTGCAAATTTGGTAAAGTTCCCCTTCTATTCCCTCATCTAAGTCATTAATGAAGATATTGAAGAGTACTGGGCCTAAGATGGAACCTTGTGGCACCCCACTGCTTACTTCCCTCCATGTCGACTTAGACCCATTAAGGATTACTCGTTGAGTATGGTTTGTCAGCCAGTTGCAAATCCATCTAGTGGTGGTGCTATCTATTCCATTTTTTTCTAGTTTACTAAGAAGTAGGTTGTGGTCTACTTTGTCGAATGCCTTGCTGAAATCTAAATATATTATGTCCACAGTATTTTGCTGCTCTAGTAATTTAGTCACTATGTTGAAGAATGAAATAAGATTGGTTTGGCATGATCTGTTCTTAACAAACCCATGCTGACTGCTAGTTATTACTTTTCTTGTTTCTAGATGTTGGCAGATCTGTTTTTTTATTATCTTTTCCAGTATCTTCCCTGGTATTGATGCTAGGCTGATTGGTCTATAGTTTCCTGGGTCTGTTTTTTCCCCCTTTTTTGAAGATGGGAACCATATCAGCTCTTTTCCAGTGCTCTGGTAGTTTCCCGGTGCTCCAGGATTTTTGAAAGATATGGTGCAGTGGTTCTGAGATGACCTCTGCCAGCTCCTTTAAAACTCTAAGATGTAATCCATCAGGCCCTGGTGATTTGTGTTCGTCAAGATCAGACAGGTATTCTCTTACTATTTTTTTGCTTATTTTAACTTTTATTTCTGGTCTATCTTTTGGTGGGTTGAACTATAGTTCCGTTTTGCATGAAGACCGATGCAAAGAATGAGTTAAGCAGTTCTGCTTTCTCTCTGTTGCCTGTTACTTCCTTGCCGTCTTCTCTCTTTAGTGGACCGACTGTTTCCTTGATTTTTTTCTTGCTATTTATATGTTGGAAGAAACTTTTTTTATTATCTATTATCTTTTTTTATTATATACCTTGGATTGAATCCTATGTGAATTAAACAGGTAGGATTTGCATAAGACGTTGAGAGCCACCGGCAGTCAAAATAAACTCTAATCGTAGTTAAAACTTAACAAAGCTGCCTGAATATATGGCATCATCCACCTTGTGGTCTCGGCCTGCTTCCTCTTCCACCTCAGTCCTGAGACCCAGGAACAGCATTGAAAGGACCTGGTTGGGAGGGGGGAAGGCCCCAGAGATGTGGCACACCCACAATCCTGCTCCTGGGTTTCCATTCCCCTCAAAGGATCTCCCTTGCCGGGCCCTGCCTCGAGAAAGGGAGTTTGAGGGTCAGCAGGGCCAGCTCTTGGGAGGGCCTAGGCCCCCTGCACCCAGGCTCTGCCCTCTGACTTCCCCTTTTCCTGATTGACAGCTGCTGTTTTCTTTTATCTCGAGGTAGTGATATAGCAATCTTTGCTCTGCCCAAGGTTTCTCTGCTGCCTCCCAATTTGGAGGCTTGCCAGAATCTAATCTCCTTTGTCTCTTAAAATACTAACTCAAGAGCTCTCCATAGTGCAAAAACAGCATAATGCCCTTTTTGATCAATGGCACTTTTTACCTGGCCCAGGGACCTGCCTATCCCTTTCCAGGCCTTCTCTGTTAGGAAGGCCATCCTTCTTCCTGGCAACACTCACTCACAAATATACTCCCTCTGTACAAAACACAGTGTAGTGTTTGAGCCACAAAGGAAGCCAAATTGCCCAGCTCAAAAGTTGGAATATCCTTTGAGCTCCACCGGTGCAAGCGAGGTGGGGAGAGTTTGTGTCCGAATCTCTGGCATAGAAAGGAGCCCCAGCGCCTTGGGAGGCAGGTTGGTCGGCTCCTCCAGGCACTCACCAGCAACTGGAGAGGAAGGCAGGTGCTCTGGCTCACAGGCAAAGGGAGGACTGGGCAAAGCTTCAAAGAGCTGCTTGGCCACAACTGGCCAAGTCCTCTTTGGGGTCTGTGACAATTTTCTGCGGCCAACTCACCGCGGGTGTCAGCTGTGGAAGCCAACAACTTGCCATAGGACAAGAATTGCACTAATATCAAAGAAACGGTGGAATAGGATCATTAAAGAAAGGAGCCAAAAGGAGGGACAGAATAAAATGAGAATGGCAGAAATTAAAATATTTTTTTATTTTATTTTAAATGATTAAATAGAATTGTTAATCCTGCCTCAGCGAGTTGTCCAGTGGAGAGTTGACCATGGTGAGTTGTCCAGTGGAGAGTTGACCATGGCGAGTTGTCCAGTGGAGAGCTATCCCGTTCCATCCGCTTTGACAGGTCTCCTGCTGCACTGCATCACTTCAGCCACCTGGATGGGCTGCTGTGGGTGCCGGTGGGGAGTGCGGGTGGACCTGCCCAGAAGGCATTGCCACAGAACCAGAGCCCCCCACCAATTAGGGCTTCTCTTGCCAGTGGCCATGGCCTTTTTGGGTCGTGATGCCTCTTCCTTTGGACAGGGACTTCCGGTGATAAGAGCAGAGCCACCCCATGAAATGAGGGGATACTGCTTGGCCCAGTCCTCGGGGTCGCTCTGGAGAGCAAGAGGGGCAGCATATGCACTGAATCAACCAACCGGCTTCTTCTTTCCCCCCACAGAGGCTTCTGCTGTCATGGCTCGCCGGTCACAGAGCTCCTCCCAAGGGGACAACCCTCTGGATCCCAACTACCTGCCGCCCCACTACAAGGAGTACTACCGCCTGGCGCTGGACTTGCTGGCAGAGGAAGGCAAGGAGAGCTACCACCGGTTCCTGGCGGAGGAGGCGGCCCCGGACTTCCTCTGCCCCTCAGAAGTTGAGCACATCACTCAGCACCTGCAGAAGCCACAGTGTGTCTCTCAGGAGGGAGGTGGCAGCACGGACTCCGGCCCGCTGGATGCAGACATGGACGGTTCCTCAGGCACTTACTGGCCAGTGAACTCTGACCTGGCCATTCCAGAGCTGGATCTTGGCTGGCCAATGGTCTTTGGGTTCCGGGGAACAGAGGTGACTACTTTGGTGCAGCCCCCACCCCCGGATAACCCCAGCATCAAGGAAGAGGCACGCCGAATGATTCGGGCTGCACAACAGGTGGGAGACCGAGAGGCAGAGCTGTGAGATTGTGGTTGTGGTTGTGGAAGGTGGTCGGAGATTCTAGGAGAGAAGCGGAGAAGTGGGCAAGACAGGTGGCTTTCCCCTCCAGATAGTAGCCTTTGGGCTATTTTTAGTTCTTGCTCTGCCCCCAGAAGTGTGTGTGTGTGTGTGTGTGTTGTGTTTCTTTTCTGACCTGTTGTCTCCTGTTTTTGAAGAGCTCTGGGACTGGAAGTGAGCTGCATGCCCACTTCTCAACGCAGGAGTCCAGTAAAGGGGGTTTGTCGTCCCCCCTGCCTCCCCCCCAAGCAACTGGCACCAAGGTTAAATTTCTCTTTCCATTGGGACTAGATGCCTCTTTCAAAACGGTGTTATTCTGATCACTTTCCAACCCTCTGATGCAAGAACTGTAGGGACTTGGTTGTCCCTCTCGATTGGTGGTGCATAGTTTCCCACTTGAATTTGTGGATGGATCGTAGAGTCAGAAGGAGATATTTATCTCATCAGATCCCATCCTGCTCAGTGAAGAAACCTAAAAGGACACCCCGTCCCTCATTCCTGCATGAGTTCAGTTTGAAAAGTCTGTGAGGGAGGGCCGTACCACCCACCACCAATAGCTTTGTAGTCGAACTGCTCTGCTCTTTAGGGCTGCTTTCCTTACGTTTCCCCAGAATTGTTTCTCTCTGCTCAACTTGGGAAGTTAGGAATCCAGGTTGCCTGCTTCCTCATTCATCTCCAGGCAAGGCTGTGTCTCTGCAAATTTGCAGCTTTGACCATAGAGGAAAACCATAGAATTGTAGGGCTGGAAGGGACCTTGGAGGTCTTCTAATCCAACCTCCGGCCTAAGGCAAGAGTCTTTATAGCATCCCAGACAAATGGTTGTCCAACCATGTTTTGCCACCCTTTCCCCCTGCACCATCTTTGGGGAGTGACCTTTGCTCTAGGGCTCCTGAAGGAGACCGGCCACGCTGCTCTCTGCCTCCCTTACTCTTTCCTGCACTCTCCTGTTTGCAAGATGACACACCCAGCCGCAAACTAGTCCCGCTTGTCTGGTGGGCTGTGCATAACAGAGCTAAAACCTAGAAAACCGAGGTGAATGAGCTATGATGGAATTGAACTGTGGGCGAATCCACAGGGTGACCTGGACTTTTGCATGAGGCCCCTCTTCATTTTCACTTCTGGGTTTGGACTACGCTCACACGAGCCCCCTGCACCCCTCCCCATCCAAGGTTAGATTCTTTCTGCCTATCAGATCCGGGTCTTCTTATGATCTCCAGACCCAGAAAGGGGGCTTATTTTGCAGTTAACCTGGGGGACCCAGACCCGAGAGCCTGTTCAAAGGGAGGCTGCTCCGCACTGTCTCTGTGGTTGGGGGAAGAAAGGGGACACTGGGTGGTTCTCCAGCCCGACTCTGGTGGTGGTTTGGCCAATTGGTGGTGACCCCAGAAAAACTCTTTTAAGAAATAAGCGGTTCCCCTCCTGTCCCGTCCCCCCGACATAGACACATCCAGACACGTGGAGTGAGCGTCTTTGGGGGTTTTATTGGCTGTTGCTGACTACATGTAAAATGTAAAAAAATAAAAATCCAATTCTGAAATCCTCAAATGCAAAACCAAACCATTCAATAATCATTTTGATTTCCTGAGCCCATAACAGCATCGTCTCATTTAGGCTTCCCTACTTAGAAAGGTATTTTTTAAAATGTCTACAAGATCATTGTGTATCCATTGTATCAGTCCCAATAAATTGACTTGCAATGATTAGCTAGTGCTTCAGAAACGTTTTCAGAATAAAAATTAAATGGGTTTATATAAGTAACCATCGACTTACAAGCACAACTGAGCCCAAAATTTCTGTTGCCAAGTGAAACTGTTTTAAAGTGAACCGCTGCAGCGGTTAAGTTGGTCGCTAAGCGAGTCTGGCTACCCCCAGGGACTTTGCTGGTCAGAAGGTCACAAAAGAGGATCACGTGACCCCCAGGAGACACTGCAGCCGTCATAAATACGAGTCAGTTGCCAAGGGTCTGGATTTTGATCGTGTGACCATGATGCTGCTGCTGCAACGGTCGTCAGTGCAAAAAACGATACGAAGTCACTTTTCCCTTGCTGTTGTAACTCCAAGCAGTCACTAAATGTAATCTGTTGTAAGTTGAGGACTGCCTGTAATATGATATTATGTATAAAAAACTACCCTTATTTTCCACAGAACACAATGTTTAGAACATTTACAAAACTCATATTTACAAAAATGTCCTATTCTTTTGTAAGAGTTGGGCAAAGCTAAAAAAGTTTAATTCACACTGCCTCCCTGTGACTTTTGCTAAGGTTTAATCTAACTTCCGTACCCAGAATCTGGACAATATACTGGTCTATTGCTCTTGGGTCACTTTCCCCAGGACAGCATTGTCACCGTCCTCTCCAGCAAAGCTGCCGTGCTTGAACATCTTTGTGTAGGGCAGGGTGGCACAGCCTGCCTCCTCTCTGCACCTCCGAACCCTTCCTGGGGATTCCCTGAAGGCAGAACTGGCCTCCTTGGGTGCTGTGGGTTGACAAGCCAGCCAGTGGAGACTCGGGGTGTCTGGTCTGGGCAAAGGGAGCTCATGCTAGTGCAGTATGGCTGCGGCTCTCCTCTTATCAAAAGCGGGCTAACTTGGACAAGAGCAGTGGAAGTCTGACTGGCTGAGTGTCACACAACGGAAGGCCTAGCCTGGAAACAGGCTGGCCTATCTGTCTGGGGTCGTAATTTGAGCTTTTTTCTACTCCCTCAGGTGGTCGCTATAGTCATGGATATTTTCACCGATGTGGACCTCTTGAGTGAGGTACTGGATGCGGCTGCACGCAGAGTTCCCGTGTATATCCTGCTCGATGAGATGCACGCCCAGCTTTTCCTGGACATGGCTGCCAAATGCAGAGTGAACCTCAACTTTGTGGAAGTGAGCATAGAAATGGATCCGGAGGGATTTGGAGAGGGCAGGACAGATGCCAGCTGCGGGAGCAGCCTTCAGTCAGTGGGCTCAAGAGAGGCAGATCTGCAAAGCCAAAGGATGGGCACAAGGGAGCCTCGTTATTTTTTGTCCGAAACGGCATAGGGTCTCTTGCTTGAGCAAAAGGTTGGACTGGACTGGACTGGACAAAAGGTTGGATTTCCAACTCTTCTGTTCTGTCAATTTCTTCCTTTTGCCCAATGGCTTGCTGCAGTAGTTGGTAAGCACCAACTCCCAATGGCTGGTTTTGTACAACATAGTCCAGCCATAGTCCAGCCAATGAAATGTTAATCTAGGACACTGTCAGCACTAACATAGCTCAATCTAACGTTTGGTTCACTATGTTGTGTGAACCCAGAACATTGGATCGAGTAAATTGTGATTTGATAAAAGTGGGAAAGTGTGTTTTGAGAACACAGGGCAACATCTTACCTCATTTCAATGGACATAGTGATACTGAGTGCACACAGGATATGCCTTTTGTAGTTGGCAGTCTGTGTGCCAGTTTCAGAAATAGTTTCTCATGGGAGGAGAAGTTTACCAAATATAAGGAAGAGTTAAGAACTGTTTCACATTTTTAGTGAAACTGTTTCAGTGAAACAGCATCACAAACTTCTGCTAGCCATTGTTGGTTTCCAGATGAAAGGTCTGACACGAGAGGCTCTCGGGGATCGGCAGGAGTCTTTTTCCAGCCCCCAACCCATCGGATCCTGTCCTGGTTGAAGATGAAAGCCACTCGAGCCTCTTGAGCAGGGCGGAAGCTTCAGAATGGATGCCGCCCTTGGAAGCTTGACGTCCAATGGAGTAAGAAGGTCATTGGGCCTCGGCATCCATTGATCAGCCTCTTTCTTCCTTTGCAGTTCCTACGCGTCCGGACAGTTTCTGGCCCGACCTACTATTGCCGCACGGGGATGTCATTCAAGGGTCACCTGAAGGAGAAATTCTTGCTGGTGGACTGCATGGTGGTGCTGAGTGGCAGCTATAGGTGAGCAGGGAGGGGGCGGGCAGGTGGGTGGCAACCGTGGGCATCCTAGCAAGAATCTAGGGGATAAAACCAATTTCTCAAAGGAGAAATTGCTGATGAAGTAAGTCTTGACCATGGAACTCGGGTCCCACTAAGCCACCAGATTAATAAAGCGGCCTGCTATCCAGCTGGCAATCGACCCTAGAGGTCCTCATGGCCAATGGAAACCAAGGGATCTGTGCCTGGAGGTGTTCAGGGCGTGGCAAGGGATAAGTGCTATGGGCTGCAGCTCATGCTAAAGAGTCATTTTTCCTCCTCCTCCTCCTCCCTTTGCAGCTTCATGTGGTCCTTTGAGAAGATCCACCGGAGCATCGCTCATATCTTCCAGGGTGAGCTTGTGGCCAGTTTCGACGAGGAATTCCGCATTCTCTTCGCCCAGTCAGACCCGCTGGTTCCTCCGTCCAACATTTTAGTGAGGACAGAGGCTCCGGTGGGGCCCTACAGCATGGCCACCCTTGGCAACAACATGCCCTTCTTTCCAAAGAAGCCTCACCTGCTTTTCCCCCGAGAGGACAACCTTTTCTCACCCTTTATGGACCGGGTCGACCCAGACAGGTATTTCCTGTCTTCTTTTAGAAGAGACGACATGCTGCGTCACACCCTAGAGGGTCCCACCATGCGAATGTACTCCAAGAAAATGGAGATGGAGAACTGTCAGGCGGACCCTGTGCGGGGCTACCTCCGTTCCAAGCAGCTGGAAATGGACTCATTTAAAAGGCACAGCTTCGCTGAAGGCACCTTTGAGAATTTTCAGTCCACAAAACAATTTTCTAAGCAGTTGTACATGAACAATTTGGACGAATTTAAAATTCAGTCCAGTCACTTTCAAAAGGATCAGTTTTATCAATACCAGTTTGAACATCCCCATGGGGCTAACAGGCCCCAGGGGCTTTTTGAAAGAATCCGAGGAGGCAGGCTAGGATTCAATGAACCAGAAGATTATGCAGATGGATTTAGGTGTCCAGAACTGGAATCCAATTTCCCCCAAGATGGGCATCCACTGCGGCTGGATTATGTGCCTTCCAATTCTTCCAAAGAAGTGCGGCATGGGTCTGATCACCTGAATCCAGGAGGGAATGGTCTCCTCGGTCTCCCGTCCCTAAGAAGGCAAAACATGGGGCAGAAGTTTATATGCCAGACCTCTCCCACACAGAAGCAGAGCATGGAGCAGAGGCTTTTTCTGCACGACCAAGGCCAAGATGTGGAGCAAGACAAGAAGGTTCAGGAGAACAGGGCAGGGCTGCGCAACTGGAGAATTTCCTCCTACCTTAGTGGGTATCAGTCTGACCCAGGAGAGGAGGGCCTTCCGATGTCCATGGAGCCGGAGATGCATAACGAGGTCCTTGGTCCCCCAGAACCCCTTACTAGGTACCCCAGCGACCTCCTCCCCACTTTCAAACCTCCCCTTCCACTTCCCAATGCCAAAGACATTTCTGGAAGTGACAGGTTGCCAGAAGAAACCTCGGTGGTGAAACAGGATCCCTTCAGAAGCAGGATAAATCCCTTGATCCAGAGGAGTTCGCGGCTTAGATCTTCTCTTATTTTTAGTGCTGCCAAATTAGACCAGCCAAACTCATCCACCGAGAAAGTCCAGATGGTGCAGAAAGAGCAGACCTCCACCGAAACAATCAAGGATGCTGAAACCATAAAAGCCAGCACTGTCTCTAAAGTGGCCGAGCTGTTGGAAAAGTACAAGTCGGTGGGGAAAGACTCACAAAGCACCACCCTCAGTCACACCAAAGCTATGTCTGCGTTTCTCCAGAAAGAATCCCAGAATGCAGAAAGAAAGTGCACTAAGTCGGTGCAGTACAAGATTCTGGAGAGCCAGGTACTCGACTCCAAAGACTCCTTCAGCCCTTATAAGCTACACCCAGAGTCGGAGGAACAATTTGCAGGGTCTGCCTCAGCGACCGACTTGCTTAGCCCTATGGTCCACGGGAGCAGTAAAACGGACAAGCTCGCCTCTCGCTTCTACCCGATAGACCAGTCCGGTCTTCCAGAGAAGGAGAGCCTAATATTTGTGGGAGAAACTCAGAAACTTGCCATAGCGGACAGGAAAGAAAACGTGTCTTTCAAAGGAGGAGAGGGATTTGAAACTGAAGAACACAAGCCAGCACAAGCCCCAGTCAGCACCATCTCCTCCAAGAACCAGGGCTCTGACAGCGCTCTCAGTAAGCCCGATGAAGAAAGTTGCAAGCAGGAACAGAGTCCAAGAGAGTTTTTTAGGAAGGGGTCTCTCAAGTTAAAACAGTTGTTGAATCCCAAAGCTGAAAAAAAAGCAGACGAAGAAGCAGGCCTGGAGAGCTGGAGGCCAGATAAGTTGGGTGCAGGAGCCCTCAAGCGGGTGTCCAGGAGCGATTCTCAGGAGATTACAGAAGAGGAGAAATCTCCCAAACCGGCCGCACCGGTGCCTGTCCTCAGGGCGAACCCAGCGCCTCAATCTCGACTGCTGCCCTCCTCCACGGCCAACGTCCTCTACAGCAGCAACCTCCGAGACGACACGAAGGTCATTCTGGAGCAAATTTCGGCCAACAGCCAGAAGAACCGGGCAGAGCTGGCCAGGCAGCTTCCAGCGGCCACCAATCCTGAGCTGTCCAGGTCTGCCACAAGTTTGGACCGCAAAGGGGATGAGAGGAACACTGGGATCAGCAGATCGGAAAGCTTTGGGAGCCATAAGCGGGGCCTGCAGAGGGAGCCTTCAGAGGACCGGGATTCTCTTCTGAAGAGGATGGAGAGCATGAGGAAGGAGAAGCGAGTCTACAGCCGCTTTGAGGTTTTCTGCAAGAAGGAGGAGCAAGGCGAGGAGGAATGTGAGACAGACGCCAAGGACAAGAAGATGGGGAAGTTCATGCCAAAACTCTTGGGATCCTTCAAAACCAAAAAATGACATTGAGGAGGCTGCTGGGACGGCCCTGCCTGAGACCAAGGTTCGTGGCAGGCCTTCCATTTCCAAGCCCATTCTAGCATCAGGACAGCTGGGCTGAGGCTGGGGGAGAGGGGAAGACGGGGGGCACCAAGCAGGATTAAATGGCCATCGGGGGAATTAAAAGGCCAGCATCCCATTAGACTTTCTTTGGAAGGGCTGGAGATTAGTCCCACACCTAGGAACTCCCTCCAGGCAGGGGAGAAAAACACACCAATATGAACAAAGAGGGGACAGTTGGCAACACAGCTGCTTTATGTGCATGTTCCATTTAAGACTCCCATTCTTAGGGACCCAGCTCAGGGCAACCATCCTGGGCCACTGCCTCGGATCTTTTGTCCCTGTAGCAGCCTTTCCTTCGGGGCCCACCATTTCACTGGACATTTTCTTTGTGGGAACAGTCCATTTGGGGGGGGGGAGAGGCTGGTCTAAGGAATCCACAAGGGAAGGTGCAGTCAACACAGAAAAACATAGAGGTCATCTGCTCCAATTCATTAGAACAGTGCTTCCCAAACCTGGGTAAATTATCCCAAATTGGGTAAAAGTGGGGTTTTTGGGGGGTAACGGCACCTGACTCCCATTACCCGTTCACAACAGTCTTTTAAATGGACTTAAAGTGATTTTCCTACATTGGGTAAAAAGGACTTTCTGATAGGTGGTTTTGGGTAATGAAGGAAAAGGTTTGGGAAGCATATCCAGCTCTCCCCCCATCCCTCTTAGAGCTCTGGCAGCCTTTTGAATGATGCAGGCCAGGGTGGGATACAGGCCCCCAAGTGGGGAGGGTGGAGCGGGATGTTTACTTCTTGGGATTTGGACTTCTGTGTTGCTGTAAAGGCGCCCAACGTAGCATTTGCCTGTTTGGCAGTTGCTCTTGTATGGTTAATGAGAACACCCAGATCCCCTTCACATGTACTACTATCAAGTCATGCTTACCCCATCCTAGAGTAGTGCCTTACATGTTTCCCACTGAGATGCAGAACTTAACTATTCTCCTATTCTAAATTCTTCATTTCAGCTCAGTATTCAAGCTGCTCTAGACCTTTTCAAATCTTCTCTCTTGTCAGGTACTCTCCAAGTTTTCTACCCACACAATTCCCTCCTCCAAGCCCTGTGCCTCGACACCACCACCCCACTGGGGTGTTAGGGCTGGATGAAACAACTGTAAGGTGCACTCACCATTGGCTGAGTAATTGTGCCCAAAAAGTGCTTTCTAATGGCTGCTCTCCAGTTTGGAAGGGGGTCTTGAGTGAAGAGTGTCTAGAAACACTCTTAAGAATTTGTTGAGATATTAATTCATGACGTCTATAAGATTCCCCTTGTCTACTAAGCTAGTAAGTCTATCCAGGGTAATAGTCTGGGATAATTTCTTTGTGACACCCTCCTGCTGGCTCTTCTTAACTGTTGTATTTCTTTCTCAAATGCTCACAAATAATCTATTTGAAGACAATGCCCAGAAGAGGTGAAATGGACAGGCCAGTAGTTCCTCAGGTGCTTCTCCTTCCTCTTTTGAAGGTGGGATTTAATAATAGAATAACAGAGTTGGAAGAGACTTTGGGAGTCCAACCCCCTTCTCAAACAGGAGAACCTATACCATTCTAGACAAATGGTTATCCAATTTCTTTTTAAAAACCTCCAGTGATAGAGCACGCATAACTTCCAGAGACCATCTGTTCCACTGAGTAACTGCTATCATTGACAGAACAGTTCTCCTTAAGATTTGATCTTCTCCAGTCCTCTGCAACCTCATCGGTCCTCCAAGTCTTCTGCACTTATCCTTACACCCAAGAATGTAATCCATGTGGCTCTGGAGCATTCAAAATAACCTAATTTCTCTCTTGTCCTCATCTGTTGGGGTTAGGGTTAGGTAACCAAAACCACTTGTGGGTAAGCCCAAGTGGATATTGTTGATTATCTATTATTACAAGAATCCTGCCAGACTGTCTTCACTTGGGAAACCACAGGTGTGTTTCCCAAACTGATTCTAAACTGGATTGTCTCTCTATTCCCTGAGAAAGAGGGCTGAGTGGTCGGTCCCCTTTTGCTGATGGTTCCACCACATTTGTCCTGAGATGAAGTTTCCTCAGAGCCACAGCACCATTTCTATCCTGGGGGAAGATGCAAAGTAAGGCTTTGCACCATCAGTTTCTCTTACAAGGGGCCTACAGTCTGCTTTATTTTTTAAATACATTTATTGTTCCTCTTTCCATGTTCTGTATGTGTCTCTTTTTCTCTTTGGCATTTGAAAGAACTCCTGCATCCTTGCTGGCCTCTTCAGATTTTTCCACATTTTTCTTTGGTTGGGTTAATTCTGACAATCTGTTACAGAACCCCATTTCTTAGAATTCTTCTCATCTTTCTTGGACCATTTGCTCCTTTAGGATTTCAAGTGATTGGATATCACCTATTTTCCCTTGGAATTTAGATAATTCATTCCAAACATTTCTCTTTTCAGTTCCCCTTCCAGATATTACAAACTCAGATAACATTGCCTACAGTTTCAGTTACTTTGCTGTGGATGAGGATTGGGGGCTGGGACAGGAGGCCTCCTTGTTTGTTCATTCTGATGAATGAAGCTCTCGGCAAAACAGGGCAAAAGTTTATTTGGGATTTGATTTGCCAAATTCCCCACTTTATCTGGGACACCCCACCTTTCCAGTCACCTTCCCTATGATACCCTTTTGGGAATCTGAATCCTGATAACCTGGTTTTCCCCCACTCCTCTTCCTCCTCTACTCCATCATCTCTTCCTCCTCCTTCCTGTGTTTCGTCACTCACCTCTGAATGTCTTCTAACCTTCTAAGACAGGGGTGTCAAACTCGATTTCATTGAAGGCCGCATCAGGATTGTATTTTACCTCGGAGGGCCAGAGTGGGCGTGGCCAGAGTGGGTGTGGTCAGCTCGACATCATTCGTGTCAGGGGTGCCTGTGGTGGCCCGAGCCCTCGGCCAGAGAAAACAGGCTCCTGAGCTCCGTTTTCGGCTGCAACGGCCTCCTGTAAGTAAACCTCTGCCAATGAAAACAGAGCTCAAGAGGGCTGTGTGCAGCCCACCCGAGTTCTGTTTTGGCTGGCAGAGGCACCGCAGGCCAGTCTTTCGCCGTTTCCAGGGTGGCCCTGCGGGCCAGATCTAATCACCCTGTGGGCCGGATCTGGCCCCCGGGCCTTGAGTTTGACACCTCTTTTCTAAGAGGACATTTATATGGCTGGCTCTTGATTTTCACAATCCTGCATTTTCTTCTTGCACCCCTTGAGAATCACTAAGGGATGAAGGAGGGGGGGAGGAAACAAGACCACCTACCTGCCTGCGTTCCAAGCTTTTTCCATCTTTGCTCCCAGAAGCTCATCCTCTCAGCGAGAACTAGCCTAGACCGAGCCACCATCCACCATCCGAAGGGCTCCAACTTAGGTGGCGCTTCTCAGGGGAGATGAAAGGGCTGCCGCCCTGATTCAAGAAAGGCAGCTTTGCAGATAGAAGGTGATAGATCAATTGCTGCCCATCTCAGTAAAACAGGAGTTGTACTGAAGAGGTGGAGGAAGGATGTCCCCTAGGACAGAGAAAGCACCTTGAAGCTTCTGCAGAATGGGAAGCACCACTGAGGTCCGAAGAAAGAATTGCAGTGCACTCCGAGACAGGATGGGAGGACCTCCTCACATCCCTCTGCACCCTCCTAGGTGGGGCGTGAGAAGCTGGTTCCCAGGCTTCCTTCCTGGGGGTGGGGAGCTGCTCCTTCCCAGTGAGCTCTGGTCCTCTGGTACTGTGTGCTTTCTCCTCAGGTTAAGGGCTAGGTGGAAATGAACAGAACCCTGTAAAGAAATGTTAAAGAACATTTAATTAGGTTGCCTTGCTTGCCTTTGCTAGGCTGGAAGGAATGTCAGGTATGGCTGCCACTTGCAATTCGTGGCCTTGCTGGCTGTGGCAGAAACACTAAATTGGCCAGAATTGGGCCTCGTGTGCCTGTCGGTTGTTTCTTCCCCTCTCCCTCCCCCTCCCCCTCCCTCTCTCTCTTCTCCCAACTGGTCTGGTAAATGGCATACTAACCTTTGTTGCTCCACTTCAATACTAGGTCAAAGAAGGTCATTGAGGATCTTATCCCATTGAGAACTTCAACCCATCCAGATGCTGTATTACCTCTATGAGCAAAACCACTTGCCCCCAGAGCCAGCCATTGAAGGCCAAGCTCTAGATCTTCCTGGAAAAGCTGTTCAGCTGTGGAATCACTTGCCTAGATCTCCCCCTTCCTGGAGGCTTCCAAATGGGGCTGGTTGGCCATCTCTCCAGAATGATTTGGAGGGCTTCCTAAGGTCTCTCCCAATGCATGCATTCTGTGACCCTGTCTTTTGTTGGACTTTCCAAAAACATCAGTTGACTTTCACGGACAGGATGCCGGACCTTCGGTGCAACCTATTTCGGGGCTCCATGGGTAGTCTCAGCAGTCTAGTGTTGATTATTAATTGGGATTCTTCAGGTAACTTAGGCTAAATTACCACTTTATAAGTACTTTATAAGTACTGAGAGAAAGTGAGGGGTATTGGCCAAGGGGCCGAGACCCTGAAGCAAGCTATCTGAAGACTTCCCTTGCTCAGGCCATCATTGCAAGTGCCAGTCTTCTTCCTCCAGATTATGTATCACCCTGATAAAACATGTCCATTACTTTGAAATCTGCTTTCAATTGGGCAGTTCTTGAATCTTTGAAAAAGGGGTGGCAGAATTGTTTCTAAGAGTATTTGGGAAGAAAAGATAGCTCATTGGGCTTGAAGCAATTGGGAGGGGGGGGGGGACAAATGGGTTTATCAGTTTATCTAGAGGGCTGATAATTCTGCTTAAAGCAGTTATAAATTCTGTGACTGGAATAAACTATGCAAATGTACATATATTTCTGGTAATTGCTTCTTATCAAGTATGTGAAGTTTTTTTTTGTTTTTTTTTTGTATGGGTAGGGTTTCAAGTTTTAAGTTTGAGGAAAACAAAGGATGGAGTGGGTCCATAAAGTCCATTACGTTTATTTAAACTTAATATCACAGTTTCTGCTTCCTACCTCAAAATGCTAAACAAAAAGCCATCGCTGCATTTGGATGAGACTCAAGTTGGTACGATTTTGTTCCCTGGTTTGTATGGTTCAGGTATGAAGGTGATACTACTTCATCAGCACCAGCCAGGGATGGTTGTGCACGCCGAGCAAGCTCCAACCTCAGGTAACTTACGTATATTCCTGGTCAGCTAAGAAAAGTCTGAGTGTCCCTACACAGAGCACAGCAAACTTTGTGGCTAATGGCTAGCAGAACCACAGGACTGGAAGCAGGCTTGGGGTTCCATGACAGAAGCACCCCCTGCTCTACTTCCCAAGCTAGGCATGGTAAACTACTTCGGTTTGTTAACAGGTGTTGGGTGGGCTAACTTCAAGCCAGTTTAGTATATGTGCCCCCAATGAACATATTCTCACATTACTGATTCTACATTTCAGCACAATATCTCTTTAACCCAACTCTTGATTCCAGCACAAAGTACCCAGAGATACCCTCAACCATAATGTTTTCTTTGTGGGGCAGACCAGGAGGCATCTCCAACCTGGAGCAAGTAGAAACATGTCTTACTGTCTTTCCCTTCTAGGAAGGGTCAGCGTACAGTAGGTTAGTTTTGGAGAACGTGAGCATGGGAAGTCATTTACTTAACTTCCCCAGAATGCATCCATTCACACACACGCAGCCTCTCCATCTGGGTGCTTGGGGAAATCTAATTTGCCTCTGGAAGAATGGGCCACAAAACCAGCCACCTTGGAGCAGAACTGCATTTGAGCCTCTGGCACAAAAGAATGAGCTGCGGGTTGGGGAAGCGACCTCTAAGAACTGTGGTTCCCACCCTTTTCTCTGATCCCCACTCATGCATCATGCCAGCAAGACACAGCTTGTCATCTTTCTCTCTTTAGCATTAGTCACACTCCTTAGCTAGCAAGAATCAGGCTTTTTCCTCTGGATTTCCTTCCTGACTCTTCCTCGTCAAGAAGACAAGTCTCCTTGGTGGAGGGTCTTTTTGTTCCTTTTTGGACGGGGTGATGGTCTCTTTTGCATATCTATATATGTTGTTAACGTCTATGTGTCTATTGATGGCTGATTTGCCAGAGTGCCAGCTTCTAGAAATTCCCTGGCAATTTTGGACTGGGCCTGGTCTAGGATGGTCACATTTTCCCAATTGAAATTATGGTTAAATCTGTCTATATGTTCTGAAATTAAAGAATTTTCGTTGAATTCCACTTTCGGGGGCGGAGGGGCTCTGTGTGAATCGTTGGCTCGTTGCACCAGGTGAATGAACCTAAAAGGCGGTTCGTGGCCATCAGAACCAGAAAGCATTTTATTAAGGGGGGGGGTCTCTACACAGGAGGGAAAAAGAAACGTGCATTTGGTACACGAGAGGCGTCGGAATGCCACAGATGAAACGGGAGAAAACGCCGATTAGACGCCAGAAAAGGCCGCCGAAGGTCTCCACCACGACTCGACCATTAATTCAGCCCGAAGGCTTATTTTCTTGCTGCCCATCAGGCACCGAGGCACACGCATGGGCGGAAGGCACCGATCCGTCGCCTCGCTTGAAAAAGCTGATCCGACCGCCGGAGGGGCTCCCGCCGAGCGACCTTCACAGGCACCGCGAGGCTGGCGGGAGAGCCCAGGGGAGGCCCGCGCAGAGGCTAGGGCAGCCGGGAAGCTGCCGAGGGAGGCGAGCGATATCGGGGCAGGTTCGGGCGGGCGGGGGCGGATCCGAGGGGCACCGGCGGCGGGACAGAAGAGGCACGCGACGGGGCGTCGGAAGGGGAGGAGCCTCGGGGAGGCCGGAGGGCGGGCGCTTCCGCTAGCGGGCCAGGCGCGCGTGTGAAGGCCGTACGTTGCCAGGGCAACCGCGTCTAGCGGCGGCGGCGGCAGCCGGGCCGGAGGATGAGCGGGGCGGCGGCCGAGGTGGAGGAGCCGGTGGCGCGGCGCTACGAGATCAAGAGGCGGCTGGGCAAGGGGGTGCGCGCGCGCGGGGAGGGGAGGGGGCTTCCCTCGGCTCCCCCCACCCGCCTCCCCCTCGCTGACCCCAGGCCGGCCCCTCCCCCATAGGCCTACGGGATCGTGTGGAAGGCGACGGAGCGCCGGACGGGCGCCAGCGTGGCTGTCAAGAAGATCTTCGACGCCTTCCGCAACCGGACCGACGCCCAGGTGAAGCCCGCGGGCGGGGGGAGGCAGATTCTCGGGCGGGGGGAGAGGCTGCGGAGGGGCTCGGCAGGCGCCCGGTGGCTCCTCCCCCCCCCCCGTGCAAGCGTTGCTGCCGCTCTTTCCTTGCAGAGGACCTTCCGGGAGATCCTGTTCCTCCAGGTGAGCCTCCGCGCCGGGCCCCTCTCGCATCGCCCCACGGAGACGGCTGCTGAAGGGAGCGCGGGGCTCAGCGGAGCCGGCGAGCTCCGCCCTGAAAGGCGTCCGGGGCTTCGGAGCCGAGCCCGCCCGGCACCCTCGGGGGTGGGCGTGGGAAGGCGCCTCCCGCGAAGGAAGCAGCACAGCGGGCAGAGGCCTCCCCCCGCCGCCCCCCTCGGCCCCTGTTCAGGGCTGGCCTTGCTTGGTCAGGCAGGGGCCCCGGGCGACCCCCCCTTCCTTTCCCCCTCAGCTCTCCTCCCTTGTCTTGGGAAGTTTTTTTTTCCTGAAAGGTTTGAAACAATCCTTCTAAAATACTTGAAGACACCTGAGAGTAAGTCCTGTAAGTTCCTGGGCAATCTTTTGAAATAGATGTTTTGGACAGTTCTTTATACCAGTATTTTTGGGTTTGTGTATGGGTTTCAATAGTTTTTCAAGAAATAATAGATTTTATATAAAGAATTAACTCTTAGACCACAGTGTATATAAAAAAGACTTTGCAACCTGCAAGTTTTTCTTAGAAGGGCTTGCTTGGTTGGTAACTATTGAGGTGGCCAACTGTTTACTTGTATTCTGCAAAAGCGACAGACTTCCTATTTGCCCCAGCTTACAATAATGACAATAATTAATTAAACTTGTATGTTACCTGACTCTCAGTGAAATTGGGCAGTGCACAACAATCAAAAGTACAATAAAATCAATAAAAAATAAAGACAGTAAAGGGAGATCACAGTGAAGTTGCCGAAGGCCTGGGAGAAGAGTGTATCTGGCAATACAGAAGTGTTCCATGGGCATATTGAGGCATTATTATTTATGCCACCACATTCTGGACCATTGAGGTTTCTGGCTGATCTTCAAAGGCAGCCCGTGTAAAGTGTGCTGCAGTATTCAAGCTGCAAGGTGACTAGGGCATG